GTATAATTCTAGCCCTAATTCAGTTTTCAGAATGCCTTGCATAAATGTCTATTTTTGATGAAGCTCTGCTCTAATTTATTACAGCATTTTGTCAGTTCTAAATTGGGAAATTTGACAGAAAAAACAGTTGCTTTTCATACAGTATTATTGGATTCTAGGAGACTTTTCAGAACCAAGTTGCACAGGCATACATCGGAGGGAAATACAATTCTATGTACAATTTATGCACTTCATGATGTTGAGCAAGGAAAGGAAGTACAGAAAATGGTGCTTAATAGTTAACCTGTAAACCTATTGATTTGAAGCATCTGCACTTTAGGAAAAGCAATGGTCTGCTTGGCTAATAATCTACATTAAGTTTTGCAGTTATCCTTTTAAAGAATAAGCTTATTAATATTTAAACTACACATTAGCTGCATCTCTTACAAGGATAATATTCCACACAACTATTATTAATTATAGCCAAATTAACATGAACTGAGAATAACTGGTAATAAATCTTCTGTAGTTCAAGCCAAATCTGAGCAAATGTAATAAAGGTAGTTTTAATATAAAATAACAGCTTTGATAGGTGTTCCACAATAACTGTACAGTAGGAAAGAGCACTCCATATGTTGCTCAGCAAATTGTGTTGAACATAACTGAAGTAAAAGCAAATTGGTACAATGTCAAGACCTGCGTAATATCCATTCACATGTGACTTTCTATTCTTCAAATAATCTTGAAAATGACAACAGCCAGTTTAGAGAATTAACTTTCATATATTATGAAAAGCAGTTTTTCTCATAAAGCACAGATTACAATAGACCTTGTTTTACTGTTGTTTTTCATGATGCTTAGCTTATGTTTGGGCAAAACAGATGGTTGAGGTTGGAAGGGACCATTGGAGGTCTTCTTGTCCAATCACCCCTACTCAAGCACGGTCACCCAGAGCTTGTTGCCCAGGATCACAGTCAGAAGAGTTTTGAAGAGCTTCGTGTACGGAGATTGCCCAGCCTTTCTAGGCAACCTGTTCCAGTGTTCTGTCATATTCTCAGTAAAGTGTCCCTGTCCCCCACTGTTTGACCACCTTTGTGGTGAAAGAAACCATTCTGATCTGCTTGAAACTTTGCGCATACCAGGCTGGGCCCATTGCCCCTTGTCCACCTATCATGTACACCTCCAAGAAGAGTCTGGTTTCGTTTTCTCTGTACCTTGCCACAGAGTAGCTGAACTCTCCCCGAGCCTTCCCTTCTTAAAGCTGAACAGATCCTGTTCTCACATCTTTGCCTTGGATGTGGTACCTGTTGTAATGTTCAGTGGGGCCATTAACTGCTTATTTTAGATGCATCTGTTTTAGAACTGATTTACACCTGATTTTGAATAGAGTTTGGATGACCCTGGATTATCCCATATCCTATATTATCCCTTTTCCTATATTGCTTTCATTTATGATTTTGTTGTATGTTAGTATCCACTTTTGTATTTTAAATGAGCCTAAATTTGAGCATGCATCTAATAACTTTAATCTGACAGAACTGCAATATTTTCATTTAATACCTGTTGATCTGTTTATAACATCAAGGTTAAAATATGCAGTTTCACAGGGATCTGTGTTAATCTCAAGCTCATAATATCCTGCTGTACTTTCTAGAGAAAGCTTGTATTGAGGATAGGATGGCAGCTGAACCTCTTTTCAATACAATCCAAATTTTATAAGCTGCCACATAGAAACCAGATTTTCTGCAATGACCTGACAAGACAATGTGAAGAAGCACTCTGTGCTGTAGCTTGTTTATTTCTTTTTCATATGAAAACATAATTCCTGCAGGGAATTCTGTTTCAGCCACAGAACTAAGGCATGTGAAAGGCTCTTCTTTCTGTGTGAAAGTTCTCCTATGAATTGCTGATGGTTAGGGAAGCTCACAGTGACAGGAGACAGCAGCTTTGTGCTTAGATGACAAGAGTCTGTGTCTGTGCTAACTGCAGCTGGCACCATTAACTACCTATCCATGGACTAAAATAAAAACAATTATCGCTGCATGCATTATAATGACGAAATCCACTCTGTTTCTATAGTAACATGAGTGACAATTTATACTATGACCTTAAGAAAGTAGAATGTGACCATTTATTTTTTTATTATTTTTTACAGTTTTACAAGGAGCAGCAATTCACAGAAAATAGCATTTGAGATGATGTCACATAACTGACAAAAGTAAGATGTGTGATGAGAAGCAAAAAAATGCACAATATAGATTCAAGTTGGAGTGTTGCTTTTGACTTTTAAGTATTGTTACACAGAAGCATATCCAGTTCAGTGCTGTTTGAAGTAGATTCTTTTTCTGTTTATTACAGATAATCTTTTAATAGAACCTTAACAAAAACAAACAAAACAAAAAAACAGGAGTGAGAAAACGTGTGAGGGCTTAAGCAAGTCAAAATTTTAAAATCATTTTTATAGTACTGTATGAAAAACAGTCTTACATTCTGAGCTTTTATCTTCAGAAGAGATACCCTCAGAGTTGAGATATCCTCAGAACACTTCAGCACTTACACTGATGAAACTGCAAAAGATTGCTCAGTGGATGCTGTTATTATACTGAAGCACCTTTAGGCCTATCCAAACTAATATTAGTCTAGTTAGTGTGTTTATTAGTAAGAAAGCTCTGGCAAAATTTTGAGCAGTCCCTTCTGGGATTTGGAGGATGTGTCTTTATGGATACTAATGAAGTAGACTATTACTTTATAGATTGATCAAGGGAATAGAGTTCCTGAGTTCTTCAGACTGATTTAGACATTCTGTTTGAATGTTGCTTTACTTCCAGCGTACCTCCCTATACAAAAGGTATGGCACGTTTAATTGTGCTGTTATTCAGTAAGAGACCAGAATATCCAGAAGCATTTAATAATTCACAGCCTTTCTCCTCCCCACATATTCGTCTTCCCCAAAACTTTTTTCTTCAATATGTGCTGCATAAAGAGCGCTCCTATGAGCAATGCTGAAGCTAGGATCATCTCTGCTACAAGTAAAGGATTATAGAATCTCTCTTTAAGTTAACCTAAAGCTTCAGTGTGTGACAGTAATCCACTGCCTATTGGCCTCTCCTTGCATGTGGCAGACATAATCAGATAAAGAAGGAAGAACTTAATTCTAACTCAGTGTTAAAAAATCATGTTCAGTCACATGATATTCTTTAGATGTAGTAATTAATGACTATCCTGAATTCAGAGTAATTTTTTCATAAAGTTAATGATCATCATTGATTGTAATTCCAGGGCATCTATATAAATGCCTTTTAGAAAAGTTTTTAACCTCCATCTTTTTTTCAAAATGTATTTCACTGCTTTAGAGGACAAAACATGACATCGGACTATATCTTAACATCCCTTTCTAAGCCCAGGCTTAGTCTGCTGATTTAACTGTATTTTCTAAAATGTATGGATGATTTAAATTTTTTGATATTATGCATGCCAAACTTAGAAATAGGTCTTCTGTACCTGCTGTTACAGTAATAAACACAGACATTCTACTTTAAAAAAAGGAAATAATTTAATTTTAATCAACAAAGTAAATACTTCATTCAAAGTGTGAAATATGCAAGTAATATTATCTCCATTTCTAAGAGGATCCAACTGAGCTTATCAGAAAAGTTAAGTAAGAGCAAAAATGCTAAGTATTTCTTACATCTAGATTTACACGTTAAATATATAGTCAGTTATATCAAAATAAATCTCGTAGTTTATGAACCAGATCATACACTGTATATGAAATGGGAGGTTATTTGACTTTCAGCAAAGTAAGAAAGGAAACTGCTTAAACAGAACAGGAAGAAAGGAGAAAGCTGTTTTTTTCATGTAAAAAAGATCAATAATTTAAATTCACATAACACAGATCCTTTTCTGAAGCATAAGTTGAAGAACCTTCTTTAAGGGACAGAATGACACTTCAGTTTGTAACTTGGTGAGATCTGATGGTCAGAAAAATGGAGAAATCTCATTATGCTACCTGTACATTCTTCATTCTGATTTTGATGATTACCGTGCATGCCCTGTATTGCTGTGAGAATTCCTCTCGAGATGGGAGGATCATGGAAGATTAGCAAGATGATCTGCGTGGAGGGGAGAAAAATAGAAATACTGGTAGCTTATGCTGTTCTCAAAATTCCAGTGATGGGATTATGTTTTCATAGTTACTTATTATTTTAATTATATTAGATTGATTGTTTGTAGAAAACGTGTAGGAATGTTCATTTGTACTTCTGTCTTTTTGTAATTACAAAATCTGATATATTCTGCTCAAACCATGTCTTTCCCAGTTAGTTCGGTGTTTGATTTCTTGAATTGGCTGCCTAATGAAAAGGCACGAGAGACCAAAAGAAGAACTTTTAGAAAGAAAAGGCTACAGCTGGCATGCAAGCATGATATAAGTCTTCCAAATTCCAATTAAATTTAGAATTTAGCACATCATAATGCAGCTAATAATAAGATCCTTAAAAGAATATATCAGATTAAATACAGTTAAGTTGCAAATACTCATGAGTACACTTTGCATTTTAAGCCAGATATTTTCCTAACACTGAAGGATCATACTGATGGGTTAACCAGTAGATTCTGTTCCCACATACTGCTATGCATCAATACAATATTGTAGAGAGATTTATTGCTTTGCGTTAACAAGCAGTGTGTAGTAAGGAGCAGTAAGCTGAAGAAGAGAAGTCATGGTAAGGATAGGTAATTCTTGTGTTTTATGAATGCAAAATTAATAGCTAGTTATGTCTGATTGTAGATCATACTTGCATGCCAGGTCTGCTTTATATTTTAGTGTTCTCTATTTGTTGAGCATCTTTTTGTTCGTTTAATGTTTGACTATGTAAAGGCAACATTCTAATGAAGTATATATTGTCATGTTAAGCACATTTTACAGAATTAAATTTATAAGGGGAAACTTAATGTGATTTTAATTACATATTTTACAAGTTTGTTATTGCATCCATGCAGAATTGCATTTATCTTTGCAGGTTTGTAATCTAGTCTTCTCATAATCTGCCCAGAGTACGAAGAAGGAGAGCTCTAACCTGTGAATGCAGTTCACCACAGGAGCAGTTTTTGCTTGCTACTGAACTGTTCACCAAGTCAACACTTCTGGTAAATTTCTTAGTCTTTTGCCTTGTCAGTGTATCCTATCTTTGGGCAAAACAAGGCTCTAACAGAAAACCTGGACCAAGTAGCTTCTCATAAGATACTAAAAAACCTCACAAATCTGCAGTATGCTGCTACCAAAATATTTATTAAAAGTATATACTCAGAAAATATATCTATTATATATTTTATACATAAATATTATATGGAAATATTTATGATTAGGGAAAAAGATGGGGTTTGGGTATGGTACCTCAGATACAAAACAAAGACAGATAGAAGTTGCTCAGAGTTTACCTAAGTACGGAATCAGTTGAATTTAAAGGTAAAGGTAGATTGCAAGTGGAACAGTGGGACTGCAGTCCTGTAAGGAAGGAGGCTAGAGTGGGACACCATGTATGTCTAAGCAGACAACAGTGGATCTAGGGAAGTAGAAGGTCCATAATAGGAAAAATCATAACAGGCCAACAAATGCATGTCTGCACTACATGAAATCTTAACTTGGTTGTGGTTTTTTTCTCTCCAGCTGTCAGGTCATCTAGTTAAATAATTGTCACATAAAATCATTCTTCCTTAATCCCAATATCATCACAGCTACAATACCATCATAAATAGATACTCCAGAGATTTCTTTCCATATTGGTAGATAAGCAAATACGTTATCTTTTACTTGCTGATCCTTCAAAAAGAAATGTCAGGGAAAAATTAAGCTATGCTTTTCTTCTTGAAAGACCTCAAGCAGGTCTGTTAGTTGTGGAAAAAAGGGGGATCAGAGAATGGGATCTGCTTTTAAACCAGATGTACGCTTGGGAAAGAAAACAAAAAATTAAAGTGAATGAATCACAGCTTATTTTATTCTGCTGGATGTGATCATGTAGGACTAACATACACAGTATGTTTACCAGCCTGTCTAATAAATTCTGCTTAAAATCATGAATTCTGAGACACCTTGAATTCCTTTTGGTATCCCTGTTTGACCTCTGCTTCTATGAAGGTTCATAAATAGTTCTGCCTTTTGGCATGGACCTGTGCAGGGAGAGTCTGTAACAACAGCCTTCAGTGATGAGTAAGTACAGTGAAAGTTCAGTAAATAAAGTGCAAGATTGTGGTTCCTGTTTCTCAAAGTGTAGGAGGGGAAGTCTATATGCAAGACAGCTGTGCCAACTTCTAAAATGTACATGTAGGAGTAGAGATTTACAGCCTCCTTTGAGTCCCAGTAGCCATGGGATATCATGGCTTTCAATCTAACTGGAAGTTTCCATTCTGTGGTTTTAAACATGAATTTCAGATGAAGGCTAGGTTAGCTTTGTTCTGGCAGGATTTTTTAAAATAGATGCCATTTATAAATCTCCCTGGTAACTTTGTTTATCTACAGTTCTGCCTTCTATTCTTTAAATTGTATTTAAAGACCTATAAAAGCAGTAAACATTTTTAAATGGTAAGTAATGAGAATGCCAAATACTAATTAATAATCTGAATTTTCAGCCTTACTCCACCATTTCTGCAACATCCTTTAAAAATATTAATTTGATGTAAAAACAAAATATCACACTACTTGCACATGCGTATGAATGCAAAGGATGTCTTCATGGCATATGCTATGCAGTTAAGCCTGTCATATTTGACATATGTTTAAGTAAACTATCCTTCTGGTATTTTATATTTAAATTTATTCATTTGCGTTTTGCGGAGGATAAGATGATACTGGGCATTTATGGCACCTAGATATCTTTCTTCCTTAGCTAATGGATTTTCTATACTTAAACCTTAAGAGAGAGTTACTAGAAAATTTTTGCTATGCAGAATGAAAATCCCAGATCTCTACTATTGCCAATGAACTCAATTTGCAATCAACTGAAATCCAGTCTGACTTCCTTTCTTCAGTGTTCCCATCCTCTGCTGCTACTGCATGCTGTTATAAACTAAGGGAGTTCACAGACATCTGTTTTTGAAAAGGTATTGGCAGTTTGCTCATTGTGATATGAAGTGTTAGCTTTGATTTTTCTTCTGTTTCTAGGCCAGTATTCAGTCTGTGAACATCCACAGTGCCCAGCAGAGAGCCTTGCATAGTTCTTTTAATCCTTCCTGATTGTAATAAGCAACACCCTGTCTCAGAACTGAACTGCTAGCTTGTCATACTGCAGAAAGTCTGGATAATGGAAACTTTCCAAAAAAATGACTAAATTCTCTAATGTTGCCATAAAATTCTTGTTCAGCAAATTCCTTAGTGAATTTTTTTTAACTTACTGTGAATAACCTAAATAGGAAAAGAGTGCTTTAAAGTTCTAGATCTGCACATTCTACTTTTCTAGACATTCCTAATAACAATGTACTTTAGTTTGAATTTATTTTACAAGAAAGGAGAACAAATTATTCTTTAGTGCGAGGGTATAATGTGTTTTAAATACATAGTCTGCAATGCGTGCAGAAATCAAGAACGCCATTTGTAACGTTAAACTGAAGCACACTAAAAGCAAATAGTAATTTTATAGCTGCATGGAGTATACTCTTGAGTGATAGCAACTATCTGCTCCTGGTTTTATTTCTTTAGAAGACTACAATAAATTTGTATAGGATAGAGGAGACCTGTTGAAATTAAAACTGTGTTGTTCAGCATAGGATAGTAAGAAGCTTCAGCATGGTAGGAAGCTTGAACTAATGCCACGAGTTTGAGATACTTTGATCTAGACAAAATTTTCAGGGCAGCATTATCCCTAGGATGTGATATAGCAAAAGGCTGGTTAGGAGCTCATTTTCTCCATATTCCTGTACAGTCCAAATACTGTTTGTTCATCTGTTCATGCATATACCTGCTGAAAATATATTCACCTAAGATCTGCTCTTTGGTTCCATAGCATTTTGCAAAGAAGGATTACTTAATTATTAGAAAAGAAAAGACTTCAGGCATGTCAGCTTTGTTCAACTGGAGTTTATTCAATGAAAATCATTCTACTACTGTGAACAGGTTCCTCACCAGTCAAGTACATTGCCTTCTTTTATTCCCTCATTAATCAGCTTTGCGCTGTGATTCAACTTTCTAGCTTTTGCTTTTTGCTGATTTATACACTTGGAATGTTAAAGAGAAATACACCCTTTATATTGAAAATGTAAGTCATAAATCAGCATTGTCAGAATAAATCCACCAGCTTTTTAGCTAACTAGTATTTTATTAAGGGTGCAAAGTAATGATTGCATGTAATTTGCATGCCACAAATCTCTGTTTTTAAGTTGGCAAATCTGTAGGGCTTTTGTTGCTACAAATAATGTAGTGCAGTACAGGGATTGCAATACAGTAGTTGCAGTAAGAGACGAGATGACTACTTGCTGAAATTAGTCCTGTTTTTTTGTTTGTTTGTTTGTTTTTTGCAACTGTTTTAAAGGAAAATATATTAAGTTAGCTATTCTCCACACTGCATCAAGGAGCATATTTCATAATAGCTTAATTCATGTTTAGACCCTGAACTTAAACAGTGTTTTTTTTAAAATGCTTAAACTGATTTGTACTTGCTGGTTGATCAGCACTTTAGGAAATGTAGCTACTTTTTTTTCTATCCTAAATGGAAACTGTTGACTTCTTTGAGAAATCTCCCCATATAATTGTATACTTTGATTGCTAACAGAAGGCTGAAAATCTGGGCTTGAAACGGTGAAGTACAAAGCACACAATTTCGGTGATATTTGAAAGTCTGTTTTTCAGTTGGTCATGCTTGATTTCATGTTCTTTGTTCTTAGCTATTTAAAGTTCGCACATACGGTTGCACTGTAGGATACTGTAGCGACCTTAGAACAGTTAACAGTAGTTATTCTCTAAATCTAGACTGCTGTCCTTACAGTAGAGGAGTGTGTCAGTAACCCAGGGCTATGGTTTTATTTCTGAATCTTTCTGCATCCTTAGATTTCATGCTTCATGATACTGTCACAGTGCTATACATTTAACTTGATCACTAACTAGAATAACACAAGTAAAATGAAGACGTCCCAAACTGAGTGACTGCTGTCAGTTTATGGAGCCATATGTATGGCTCCTTATGGATGCTTGCTAAGATTAGAGGTAGATCTCCCTAATAACTATTATTTATTCATGATTTCTTGTAAGCAATCCTAGGACATAAAGCTACAATTGAAACATGATTTATATGTAAAATATGCTAAAAGCACTGTAACACTGTGACGACACAACAGCGAACGTTGCTCTTCCATTAATAACCTTTTAAGCATCAGATACTCATGAAGAACCTGACCAGTCCTCAAAAATTCCATTTTGCCTTTTATTTTACAAGGGGAAAATAGCCTACACTAATCTGTCTGAACAAAGGTGTAATTATGTTGGAAATGGGTAGTACAAACCAAGCATCTTTCTTTAAAAATAGTGGAACTCAAGTGATTACACTGGTTATAGCCACAGAAGTATGACAGGAGTAAGGTTGTCTTTAGATGACATTATCCCAGCTACTGCTTTGTCATTTCAAAGTCTTGGTACACTTTAATAAGGAATCATTTTGTTTTAAATACATAGGAAAACCCTTATTCCAAAACAACATAAATCAGCATGTGTGTATTGGAGGGGAAAAGCCTGTATTTTCTGTTTGCCACAAAGTTGGTTGCAATGCAAAACCACCTGTAATTTCAACATCAAATACAAGCCTGATTATTGTGTTTGAGGGTAAGTTATTCTTGACTGTCTGACCTCCTTGAGTGATACAATTTTAACCACATTATGTTTGCGGAGTTTACGTCTCTGTAAGATGCTGCTGCTACCAAAATAGCTATGGTTAGCATGTTGGTTGCCTAACTGTACTTTGAACACCATGGGCTTATTTTTTTGCCTATGTTAGTGGAGAAAACTTTTATACAGCTAGAGCCTTGGCTGCGTAACTACCCAGAGAGAAGAAAAAACAAGCTAGGTAAATCAATAGAGCTGTAATTGTTTAACCACAGTTATTTTTGCATAGCAAATGGAGGTGTTAAAGTACATGTTAAAAACCAGGCTGGAAAAGAGTAAAATG